ATATATATATATATATATATATATATATATATATATATATATATATATATATATATAATACTGTAAAAATTGAAAAATATATGTCAAAGTAATTAATAAATTACAGGTCTAAACTTCCTTAATATGGATATCGATATAGGTAAATTTTATATAGGCCAAGTGCATGACACCCACAATAAAACACAAAACTTTATATTCTTATTCAGGAAATTAATGCGAACAGAATATCCTAATAACAAATATAATATCGTAATGTCGTAAAGTATATTTCTTTTATCGCTATTTTCAATATTCTATATACTTTTTAGATACATGCTTAGAATTCCGATCAATTATAATCCATTAGATATTAACTATTAAATGTAATTCTGTTACATTGTAAATTAGTTGATAAAGACTAGATCTGTAAATTAGTTGATAAAGACTAGATCTTTTGAACCAACCTTTCTTTTTGTAACAACTCGCATGGTATTCGTGCCTTAACTTTCGCAATATTTCCGCATCCAAAGAAAATCTAACATATGTTATTAAAATATTAGGTAATGGTTTTGCGATATTGCAGATATTATAATAATTTAAATAAATTTCTTAAATATTATATTTTTAACTTTCTCTAGTAATTACGTAAATTATATACACGAAATGTAGACCAAGGATTTTGAAGGAAGGCATAGTTCAAAGCAATTCTTATATTAATATTATTCTAATATTTTGTTTATATTTACTGAGGTATATATATGCTCCGTATTTCCAAAAACCATATATTTAAATTGTTTCTTCTATAGTAAAATTACATTAAAATGCCATTTTACAGTTTTCTGTGGATGTAGTGCATTCGTTTATTATTATCAGCATTCCTTAAGTAGAAATAGATAGATGAACATAAAACATACTTTAAAACAGACATGTTCTTTTCTGCTTTTATTACTGAATATGTGTACCCTTACGGAAAAGAACCATAAGAAAAAACTACTGAGAAAAATATAGGAAAACTGTTGAAGTACTATTGAAAAATATTGGAATACTACTGTATACCTATTATAATACTACTGGAAAACAATAGAAAACCTATTCGTTAATTTTATAAATAGGTTTAATATAAGTTTTCAATTGTTAATACAGCAGTATTTTCGTTAATCGACAAAAATACTACTGTTCTCAGTAGTTTTCTTATCATATTTTTTTGTAAGTGTACATGAGTGCGTGTATATTACATGTGATGCAGTGGTAGAAGTGTGAAAATGCTCCGGATACTACGCTTATTGTGGTATTTAATACGTAAAAGGTGTTATTCGGTCATATTTGGTACGAAATTACATAGCTGACTTTGTATCAAAACGAGGCGGTTTGTTACATTCATTTAGTGGTTATATATTAGTTATTTCGGTAAAAAAATGTATCCGGAGCAATTTATAAATATGCAGAACAAATTACAAGCATCATTTTAATGATATACCTTTTTCTTTAGTGGTTTGTAGAACACGGTTTTTATGGACACGGTTTCTTCGTTTTTGATATCATCAATCCAACAGAGCCACAGTGACTGAAAAGTCTTAAAGAAAAATTTTTCAAAGAAGATATTGAAAACGTTTTGCTATTAAAATAAGAAATTGTGCAATTATTTAAATTATTAAAAACTAGAAATACACTAGAATCCGTTAGTCCATTTTTTACTCATCGAGTAGGACTATATATGCGGCGACGAAACGAAGAATTTCAACAATTATACTACAAATTATTCCATTTCATATACAGAGTGTCCTACAACTGATAGAACACCCGTTAGGGGTAGGTAGGGGATGCAATTTAGAACTGAAAATTCCTCTTCCATTTTTGGATCCAACAATTAGTTAACGAGATATTAATTAATTAAGTCTGCCAATCTCATAGCGCCCTGAGTGAGCACTCAGGGCTGTAGGGCGCCGTGGACTCCTCAGGGGCCCTGCTTGCTCGTTTTTCTTCCCTTTTTGTACACACACTAAAATCATTCACTCAACCATCGACATGCAGAAAACATTCAAATCACCACGCATTCGAAGGAAACATACCACACATGTCCTCTCCATCCGGCACGTAAAGTGCAATCACTCCGCCCACTCGCACTCACAAAAACATTCAAATTATCTATGCACTCATAACCGCACACAAAAACACCCATAAATCACCCTTATACATTGAAAACTTGCCATCCCCCTAGCCCCGGTCAGGTAGCCATCCACACACCTACTCACTCATCCATATTTTTTCCTAAGTAAAACAAAAGAGGGGAGAAAAACGGACCAGCAGAACCCCTGAGCAGTTCACGGCGCCCTACAGCTCTGAGCGCTTGCACAGGGCGCTAAAGAATTGGCAGACTTAATTAATTAATATCTCATTAACTAATTATCGGATCCAAAAATGGAAAAAGAACTTTCAGTTCCAAATTTCACCTCTTACCTACGTTTAACGGGTGTTATACCAATTGTGGGACACCCTGTATACATATACTCCACAAATGTATGTACCGGATGAATTAGTAACTTTTGCCTGAGATACACGATACAGAAACCTGAGATACACGATATTTAAGTTGAAATATAAAATCATCTCTTTGCTGATAAATGGTTGTTTCGAAATTCCTACATTTGTTCAACGCATAAAAGTTAGCGAAAATAATCATCTGTTTCTCGTACGTCTGTAGTTTACGTAGCATTTGTTTTTCTTTTGCACTCAGAGATCGTAGTCTTGATCCAATCAATTGAACTTATCTCTGTTAAAAATTGTTTAATATATCCGCAAAAATCTGCATTTGTCGGGGAAGATGTCGCACGCTGTGTATATCTCTAGAGTAACATATAATATAAGTTTTCACAGATTGCACAACATAAAATTTTCAGCGTTTATCCAGCGAAACCACTATAATTACCATAGATGTTTGACTTATCAATTTCTATCATTCTAGAGCTCTCATAAATTTTATTTAATCAATAATTAATGTGTATTATCAATTTAAAAATAAATGGTTTTTGTGCCAATATGCAATTTAAAATCAACGGGCAATGTCTAATCCATGATAAAAATATGCTCCGCGAACATGTCCGCTTATTATTAAAATCTGCTTGAAATTCCATATTTATATGTGGTTGTTTAAATGACGGATCGGTCACATATATATGGTAAAATATATTATAAATTTCAACATGAATCACTGAATTCTTTCAATTGCATTTAGCACAAATCTCTATATCATAATAATCCTGCTCAAAATTTGGTACTACTAATATAATTATAAAGTCCTTTATATGACATGAGAGATGTAAGAGGATTTCTCAAGCATTTAAATATTCCTTTTCTAAGGCATTTAGTGCTACCATGTGAATAATTCATTTAAGTGCAAACTTTTGAATTGAATAAAGTATTTGATAACATTTGAATTGAACATAGAAACATAACTGCTTAACAAATGTTCCTATACACTTTTCAGATCTGTGATAAACGATTACACAATACTAAAGTGGTACAAGTTTTTTTATCTGCCACGATCATTACACAAACGGTATTGTATTTGACGATGTAATACTCCACAAATATATATAACCATTACACTAAATAGAATGTCGCAAATAAGCTCATATGATATATTTATATTTTTTCATATGAAAATAAGAAAAAGGCACAACGAAGAAAGTTTCAAGTTTTGAAACTATTGTTAATACATTGAGAAAGTAAGAGTTGAATTATTTTTATTTTATGTATGTTTTGCTGATGAATATGCGTACAAACCTAATTATATACGTATTCTAACTAAGGCGCAATACTATATGAAAAATTTGTATTGTGTTAAATATTGAATTATGTTATACTAAAACTTATCTGAGTTAAATTTATATAGATATCATTATAGGAAACTTTTATACAAGCTAAGTAAAAGATGTATTACAACTAAATCTAAAATTTTATTATTCTACAGCTCAGAGTAATAACGAAACTGTAATAACCAATACAATGTCGAAAGAGGTTATTATTTGCGATTATATTCAATTTTCCATATAACATATTTTTGTATTTACTTTATACTTTTCTTTGTACTTGTTTAATTATAGGAGATAATAAACTATATTCCACTAAATATTATCTATCTATTATGATGAATCGCATACTAATGGTGAATGTAAAATTTATTAGGCTTTTTAAATTTAATTTATGGTAAGCCAACATTTTTTCTTTACAATTCATAAAGCATTTTTGCTCTGATATTTCCACATCAGAATATTGATTCTTAATTAAAAATAGCATGTACTGTTAAAGCATTGTGTGATCGTGTTGCAACGCTCATAAATTTTAACTTCCCCTATTTATTACGCAAATGAAATGTGCAAGAATATAAACTACATTTAAACACGTTACAAGACAATTTTTAATAATCCAAATATGAATTTTTTACTGTAATATTTGCGTCCTATTTTTACAATCATATTTTCAAGCTGTTACTTTCTTACTCAAATTAAACGTTCTATTTTAAAAAGTTTCTATGTATCTAATATATTTGTTTATTATTATGAATGACTATTAAATAGAAACATCGCAAGTACAATGAAAAGTGCCTTTTAATAAAAATATTCATAATTCGATTGTATAAACAACATATATTTTATATTATATATGCTAAAATCTTATACAAATGCTCTGAACCATTTAGTATGTTCTTCATAAAGTAATTGTGTTACGATAGAAAGTTACAAAATCATTACGAAAATATACAGTACCAGTCTTCAAATCCCTCCATGGTCTTCAAGATCTGAAAGGATTTCAAGTATTATAGAGAAATTGTATATGCGAACCTAAAATTTGTTTTAAAATAGAGACTGTTCTGTTCTGCTTTTTTTCCGATGTGGTAGTTAAAATTAACGGACAGTGTCTAATCCGTGATAAAAATATGCTCCGCGAATATGTCCACTTATTACTAAAATCTGCTTGAAATTCTACAATTATATCTGGTTTCTTAAAAGACGGACAGGCTACATACATAAAATGTATTATAAATTTCAACATGAAGCGTTATACATCTGTTCTTGCAGTAATAACAAAGTTCCATGTCATAATGATCCTGCTCAAAATTTGGTCCTACTAGTATAATTGTTAGATCCTTTATGTAACGCATGAGATGTACAAATATTTCCCAAGCATTTATATATTCCCTTTCTAAGGAATTTAGTGCTATCACATGAATAACGTATTTAAATTCAAATGTTAGATGTGCGGATGAAATGAGTGGTTCTACTGAATCAGCATTCTCCATTCCATAATATAATGTTAGCGGTCCTGATACATAATCACAGATGAAATATATAAAATATGTTGCAACTATTTCGGTGTATTGTGTGTAATAATGCTCATATATTCTAATAAATGTATTCATGTCATTAAAAGGTATTATACTTTGATTAATAAGATTAATGAATTTTAACTTAGGGAATTTGATTACACTAGTCACGATATTAATGTTGATATATGATACAAACTGTTGGCATTTTTGCTCATGCAAACCTTGAAATATCTGTATATGGTCAATGCAATAATATAATACAATAACACGTTCTACAGAGTAACAAATTAATCTGTCTATGACAAATAGAGCATGATTTTGCAAAAAGAATCATCTGTTCTTCATACGGCTTTAGCTTACGTGGAATCCATTTCTTAATTGAGCTTAGAAATTGTTGTCTTAACGTGACCCAATTAGTTAAACTTAAAGCACTAAACACAAATCGTTCACATCAATTACTTTAGAAAAATAACATACTCATGATAGATTATTTTGTTTGGCGTATGATATCAATTTAAAAATGAAGTGTGTAACGTGTAGCTTCTTGTAATAGAAATAATGTAGTTGTCTGTCCATAGCAGATTTATAACTGAGGTGTTCGCATTTCAGATCTATAGCAGACTACTGTAGAGACGACATTAAGAAATCCTCTGGTTCGCTAGTTAATATTGACAAACTGATTTGGGTATTTGAAAATGTAACAAAATACGAATAAACGTTATTGAATAGAATGTTGCAAATAGACGCGCATGGGATTCTTATAAATTTTTATTATATGTAACTTATGTATCAAAAAAAAATATTGAAGAAGGAAAAAGTTGAAAGTTTTAAACAATCATTAATATGTTGAAAAAGTAAAAATATGAATTATTGTTGCTGTATATATATCTTACTAACAAATATATACAAATGGTATACATGCGTCCTGTAAACAATATATATATATATATATATATATATATATATATATATATATAATACCGTAAAAATTGAAAAATATATGTTAAGGTAATTAATAAATTACAGTTCTAAACTGACTTCTAAACTTTCTTAATATGGATATCGATATACTTATATTTTATATAAGCCAAATGCATGACGTTCCACAGTAATGTTATTCTGGAAATTAATGTAAATAGAAAATCCTAGTAACAAATATAATATCGTAATGTCATAAAATATATTGCTATTATCGCTATTTCTAATATTCTATATATTTTTTTAGGTATATGCTTTCAGTTATGATTCCGATCAATCATGTTCTACTAGATATTAACTATTAAATATGATTCTTTTATATATTATTCTATAAAATTACACAATAATATTATACTATTATACAATAATATTATACAAAAATACGACAGATATATTAGACAAAGGGAATTATTAAAATAAATCTATTTCACAATATTTTATATTCTAAATGGAAAATGCTTTGGAAAGACGTTATACTATTATCAAGTATATTCTTTCCCAAGCGGAATCTTTCTCGAGTTTTATCTAGTGATTAAAATATATATAGAAGAACTTCTAGAGTGAAAATCGCATTAAACATTGCGTATTTCATCACGATCCGTGTTTACATAACTATTGTTCAGCAAGCGTGTGTTTTACTTCATAAAAATATTCAGCATTTATTTATTAACGTTGACAACGAATGAAAATATTAATGATAGATTGCATTATTACTTTAAAATAAAACGAAGATTTCGTCATATATTTTAAAATAAAAATATATTTTTATACGAAAAATGTAATTAATTTCTTCACGTAAATATGTCATAGTAGAATGCATGTATATGTGTATTTCTCCGCCTATCTAATTTATATGTAATTCTTTTATATATTTAACTAGTGAATTAGTTAATAAAACCTAGATCTTTTAAACCAACTTTTTTCTTTTTGTTACCACTCGCTTGGTATCCGTGCCTTAATTTTTGCAATATTTC